CCACTTCCAGAAAGCACGACGATGATCATCTTTTTTTTTTTTTTTTTTTTTTTTTTCCTAATCAAAACCACCCGATTCGACGCTAGGGGTGCTGGTAAGAGCAGACACCACTAGCACCGTCGGTGAGGCTCCATCTATTGGTGGGGAGCAGTACCTGCTGGAAAACGGGTCCAGCGTCCCTGAATCATTTTGAATGGATTGTTTAGGCAGACGAGTAATTGAAATGTCAACAACTTGCAGGACCAACCTGTAAAGACTATACTCTCAGGTAGACCTACCAGCAGCCTAAGATGTTTGCGTACATGTCAGTTTGGGAAAGGTGGTAGTATACCCAAGTCCCGTGGCTACCTCAGGGCGAGCTTATTCCGAATTGGAGTGGAATTCTGTATCTGTATCTGATTCCGACTTTTGCTCAGTATACTATCCTCTCTTGTTTCAGACATGTGGACTGGTACTACCCCTTAAAATCGACTTACGGCGATGATCATCTTACTTTGATCACATTAGAGGAAGTCAGCTGGGTACCAAAAGCACCAGTTTACTGAATCCGGGTCATCCGCGACAACGAACACTGGATCGCCTTTAGACTGACACACCCATCTCAGAGCTTCCCTCTGACTGACAGGACTGGGTATGGACAGTGCAACAAAAAACGGGATGTCGTCCTAATAACATGGAAAGCAGAAACATAGATGAATTAGTAAAAGGCAGGGAACATTTGGGACTCAGAAAGAAGAGACTGGCTGTCTCGACAACAACAACTAAGGGCAAACTCAGGTATTGCCACAGACCATGGCAGGCGCTAGAAACACTGATCTTTTCGATTCCTCTGGAGCGAGTGCAGATTCTTAAACCACGAGTACACACCTCACATCAACCGTGCGGGCATGTCAGAGGCTGAAAAGCGACGCGGGCCACCGATTTCTTTCGTCGACAGCGTGCCGACACCAGCTTTTCCAGATGGGCGACAAGTTTCTTTTCAGCAAGGCTGCGGCCGTGTACTGGCGATTTAAAAGAGGCCCTACCTGGGAAGAGAGCAACTGGGTAGCTCTCAGAGACAAGGGTAGGAAATACAGTGGATATCCACCTGGATGAAAAGGTGCTAGTAAACCACTTCCAGAAGCACGACGATAATCATCTCACCCAGATCACATCAGAGGGAGATAGGTGGGTACCGAAAGCGCCAGTCTATTGAATCTGGGTCACCCGCGACAACGAACACTGGAGGGCCGTTAGACCGACACACCCATCTCAGAGCTTCCCTTGGACCCCCAGAGCTGGGTATGGACACTGCAACAAAAAAGGGGTGGCGACCGCAGGAAGCTACTGCCCTTACTCACGGTCAAGGCACCTATCGGTTGCTACGTCCTAGGGTCGACCTAAAAGGACAGTGCATTCGCCTACTAGGGTCAGGCACCCCTTGGGGGATGGCCCAGTAAATTGTACCCATTGGGGGTGGGCAGTTCTTGATGAGAACGGAAGTGGGCTGTTCGCAGCACCTCAAGGGGGACCGAGGGTGACACATGTGCGACTGGGTACCGTAAAGGTCTCCCAGGGCGGGATACTCTCAGCCGTTAACCCTGAGATAAGGCGGGTTGGTACCTACGCTCTTGAGCTGAAATGCCAACTGCCCTGCCCTGCCCCGAACGTGTACAACTTTATTAAAAAAAAATAAAAAATGGACAAGTCGTACAAAAGATGGATGAAGCATTTAGACGTAAGCAGGGAAGCTCTACGCTCCATCCACTGGTTTGTGGGACTTGAAACCAGTCCAGCAAAGATAGCATCATTACAGTGGCAAATCGACAACCGATGTTTGCCCACAAATGACTGGCTAATTGACAGAACCCGGCTCGAGCCGCAGGGCAAGGGCCTCCCATGGAGCAAACACTGCAGCTCAGCTTACCCTGCATGCAAGATACCAGAAACAATAGAGCACATAATGCTGCGATGCCCGTAATTCGTATGGACATGGTGCTGGTGGGACCGGATATGGCAATAACCTGGCATAGAAGTGCGGTGGCCATGGGAATGGAAGGCGCTGCTGTGCGGGCCGTGGCAACTGCAGCAAGCCAGTGTTTTGGCCTGCAATATGTTTGACAATAGGCGCAGGGCGGTGCTCTAATATGCCCTCTGGTGGTGGCACTGTGTCTTTGAAATGGAGGCCGCACATCTGGACAGCCCAGCTTTTAACTTTTACGGAAATTAGCAAACAACAAGTGCAGACAGAGCTCATGGCAAAGTGAGACGAAGTACGAGAGCAACTTCCTACTTTCCATACACAAACCAAAATTTTTTTATTTTAGTTTTTCTCTCTCATACAACATTTTATAAAGAGAAAACGAGGGCGCTGTCATGGTTTTCAGTTTTAAATGCACCCTGATTACCCCTTCTATAAATGAAAATTGTTAAGAGCTATAGGGATATGAAGCCACCTCTTCAGCCCTGTATAGGCTAGGCCTCCAGAAAGATCAGCACACAGGTAGCAGCCATTAAACAATTCTGTCTGGACTGGCTGGGTGGGGAACAAAGTGGGGGGATAACAGAGGTGTCCTGGACAGGGGGACAGGTGGATGATCCACAGGGGCAAGTGCTTAGTAGGGACTATATGCGCTTCCCTTCCTTGAATGGACTAGTCTAGATCAGGCTGAATTCCCATGCGCCCTCTTTCCAGATCCCTTCCCCTCTCATCACATGTGGTTAACCAGGGGTGTTATTTTCGACGAACTTTGCACCGAAACTGTTACATTTTGCTGATTTTTTGCTTCTCCTCATGGTCATCGATAGTTGATTTACAATGGTATGAGGGGAGCAGAAGTGCTATGTACTAACAAATGACTACCGTCTTCACCCGAATAGAACGCCCAGTCATTATAACTGTATTTGGCACAACTTTCAGCCCAGATACGGCGATAATTACCGGGCGTTCTATTCGGGTGAAGACGGCAGTGCCAGGACTGAGAGGTACCGGGCAGAAAGGCAGTGGTCAGGCGCCCAGTACCAGGCTGAAGACGCACTAATGTCATTCCCAGTTCTCGTCATCCAGAGCAGGGTGATGGCCCCAGTAATCAGACGCATTTCATGATGTCATGCATAGGCCTTAGGGATGCTGGACCCGGTTTGCAGATCCCCACCAATAGACTGGAGCGGGAGGCCTACTAGGGGGTGTTGCTCTTACCACTCCCCCTAGTAGACTGAAGCTCGACTGAAAAACAAATTCCCTATATGAGTGTGATATTGCTACCCTTGGGGACCGCCAGTACCTTTCCCAGCTATTGTCCTTGGTGGCAGGCCCCATACATCCCGTCCGTAGAAGTGCCACACTTTAGGGAAGAGTACTGGTGGGTACTACCCTTTTGGAGTGAAAAAGTCTGAAGATTAGCATGGTCTCTCTGCAAGGATGACACACATAAATCCTGAAATGGTTCAAAAAAAAAAAAAAAAAAAAAGCCTGCCATTTCTTCTCTCTCTTTCACACATTTTGATAGTTACAGGGCCTTTTTTTTTTTTTTTTTTTTTTTTTATAATGTACTGAGTCTACTGACCATGTTTCAGTGGATGCTTGCTTGCCCTCTTTCCAGACAAGGATACTGAAACTGGAGGTAAATCTGGGGCTGACGCATCCAGGAGGACATCGAGTGTCATTAACGTACCCTTTTTGCCCAACCTTGCGGGAGTCGTTAAGCCCCCAAATGTGCTGGAAGGGGGGGCACCTGCGCCCCCAAACATGGAAACAAGCCTAGGCAATATCGGGAGCATAGGCGTTCCACGCATTCCAGCTGGGGGAGCAGGAGAAGGAGAAGGAGAAGGAGAAGGAGAAGACGGACGCAAAGTGAGCGTTCTTCCGTCTGCAGCAGGTGGAGCAACAGCAGGAGGAGATGGCAGCACAGCTGCTCGCCCACTTGATGATAACAAGGAGGACAGTAGTAATCTCAAAACAGATGATGCAAATGCAGATATAGAGGAAATGGACCTCTTCTTAGAAGATCTACCGTTGGAAGATACAAGGGCACCATCCTTGCCTACCACCAGGGCAAATGTCTTCTGCATGACTTTATGTTGTATCGACGATGCATGGGCATCCAGATCCATTGACTTTTTTGCACCAGCCTTCCTGAGGGTGAGCATGGGTAACCCTTTCTGTTTTTTTTTTTTTTTTTTTTTTTTTTTTTTTTTTTTGGTCGAGATCTGAAAGGCGTTCTTTGGAAGCCTGCTGCTCCAGGATGACCTGCTGAGCAAGGTTAGCCGGGGACATATGAGCAGGTCTTTCCTGGATGGATCTGACTGAATTTGTGGTCAGATTCACTTGAAGAAAGTCCTGTGTCTTGAGTGTCACTATACTGAACAAGAAGAGTATAAATGAAAGGAGTGAAATAAAGAGCAGATTCTGGAAACATTGGTATTGAAAATCTTAGAAAACCATGTATTAGATGGATGCATCTGACTGAATCTGTGGTCAGATTCACTTGAAGAAAGTATGTGTCTTGAGTGTCACTATACTCAACAATAGGATTGGATTTTTTTAGGATGTGTGCTTCTCCCGCTTCTCCATTATATTGGATGGATGCATCTGACTGAATCTGTGGTCAAGTTCGCTTGAAGAAAGTACAAGTCTTGAGTACTCCACAATACGATTGGATTTTTTTAGGATGTGTGCTTCTCCCGCTTCTCCGTTATATTAGATGAATGCATCTGACTGAATCTGTGGTCAAGTTCACTTTGTTTTTTTTTTTCCAACTCACCCCCACCCTTTTTTTTTTTTTTTTTTTTTTTTTTTTTTTTTTCCTTTGGCTCCATCTAAGGGCGTCGTTAGACACTCCTCAGGGCATCCTCGGGCTCCGAGGATGAATCCTCGGAAAAGTTTAGAGTTTTTGTCGTCTTCGTTCGACTCATCCTCGGAGGATTGGCTTTAGGACTCATCCTCGGAGCAATGTCAGAAAAAAAAGGGAAAAAAAAAAAGAAAAAAAGTTGTGCTTCAGGCTTTCAGCCAATAGGGTGCCGCCACGATCCGAATTGCCCTCTCCTCTCCGTGAAACACGGATCCTCGGGGCCCAAAGGACCTCGCGAGGTCCTTTGGAGCCGAGGACGATTTGGCTGGAAAATCCTCGGAGCCCAAGGATTTGTCCTCGGAGTGTTTTCACATTTTCATTTCCGATTTCATCTCCGAGGACAGGTGGAACGAAGACGAAATCCTTGGAATCATGTCCCCGAGAAGTGTCTAAGGACGCCCTAAGAAAGTACAAGTCTTGAGCGCCAGTGAACTCTTCTTTTTTTTTTCACTTGAAGAAAGTACAAGTCTCGAGTGTCACTAAACAACAAGGTTGGATTTTTTCGGATGTGTGCTTTCTCCTGCTTCTCCGTTATATTAGAAGAAAGCGGCTGAATGGTCCTGTACCGAAATTGGGGCGTCCTGTACCGAAATTGGGGCTTCTCCTGCATGCATCTGGCTGCAATTACGTCCAGGGAGGACCCAAAGAAGTCCTAGTCGAGTATGCCCCCTTCGTAAACATATCTGAGGCTCCTCTTCTATAAAACTATGGCTATGTTGAGCCTGCTGATTGACCAATGAATTTGGAACTTCCATCTCATCTCTAAGGCATTTCCAGCATTTAATAATATAGCGATTGAAGGCTCGTGTTGCCATGAGAGGGGGACCCATGCAGAGCCCACAAAATAAATCCAGGAACTCCAATATGTATCAGGGATAGGGGGCGGGAGTTGTGTTTGTATTTATTTTTTGGATTGCAAAACAACTCCAGCACCTATAGTATGAGCATACTCGCAGTAGGCCCTCAAACTCGCAAAATCACAAAATGAGCGGCCAGATAGAGTCATTGTAAAGGAAGGACTAGATCTGGCCGGTCAGTTAGGGATTTTGCGATTTTGAGGGCCTAGTGTGAGGGCATACTCACACTAGGGGTCTAATTCTTAAAATCACAAAATCTGATGTCGTTTCGCAGTCACACTTTCCTCCCACCCCCAGCAAAATCACAAATGATGTAGTATTTGTCAGCGGCCTGCTGGGCCGCGGGGTTCGACAAATTGCGAGGACCTCTAGAGGTCCTCGCAAATTCGCATTTGATTTCTTATTTTTTTCTTAAAAAATGAAAACCTCCGCAGGCCACAAAAGGCAACTTCTTGCCCACTACAGTCCAAAAATGCTACGTTCTGTCTCCAGCCGGGAAGTCATACAGCGGCTGTACGATCTTTGGCGTTATGCACAGCAGATTGCCGGTGTGTAACGGGTTTGTCCCTAGTGGCGGAGTCCCTTTCGCCCCCAGGTGAGTTCCATACCCACTTGCCCTGCGTTCCCCCATGCGAATAGTCTGGCCCTCCGGAAGAATAGTCAGGCCCTCCCGCAAGAATAGAGGCACGTTCCGCTGCCCTCCGCTCGGTTTCGGGGCCTCCCCCCTACTTCCTGGTTTCTGTGCTCCCACCACACTCCCACCGCACCCAGTCTTGCTAGTGGTCCACTTTCATAGGTGCATCGCACCTGGTCTGTTCGCCATAAGTGACACAGGTTGGAGAAGCGGGAAGATCGACATCCCGCTGGTGGGCATCGGCTCTATTGGCCTTACAGTGCAGGCCGAAACATTAGAAGGGAAAAAAAAAAAAAAAAAAAAAAAAAAAAAAAAAAAAAAAAAAAAAAAAAAAAAAAAAAAACACACACACATAAAAACTTAAAAAGTTATTTAAAACCCAATAAAAAATATTCCACCATCTGCTATCAGCTGTGTGACCACGCTGACACCAAATGGAGCATTGTTCAGAAAGTCGCGGCCATGTCTCATTCACATTTTGCTGTTTTGCTACCGGTGTGTGAGTATGTGGCACACATAAATCTCAAATTCGAAATTGCAAAATTGCAATTTTTGCAACTTTGCTCACTGTGTGTGAGTATGCCCTGAGTGTGCCCTATGTCCACCTTTGACAAATAGCAAATCTCATTTTGTGGGCCAGTCATTTTGGGATTTTGCGATTTTGAGGGCCTAGTGTGAGTGTGCCCGTTGTCCACCTTTGCGAATAACAAATCTCATTTTCTTTTCGATAGCTATAGGACAAATTGAATTTGCAATCGGGTTTATATGAATACAACATTGAACAGCGATTTCGTCAAAACGGACATTTTATATTTTTTGAACGAAATTGAAATTGTCATTCTCATGCTGATTTTGGTGATTTTTCACGTTTCGAGTACACTATTTTGGGTAGGTACCCCGCATTTGTTTACAGTTTGTGCTCATGTTGACCACAAGTTTTACATTGCTTTCTCAATTTGATAGGACCTGCAATAGACACGCCATTTGTCGAGAGTGTTTGGTGGGCATTCTTAATGACAGCTGTAGTGGCAATTGTTGTACTGAGAATACTCTGCTGGGAAAAAAAAAAAAAAGAGAGTAATCGGCTGGGTATTCCATGTCCTCATCCATCTCATCCTTATAATGTATGTCCTCTCTGTCATCAAGGACAGAGTTCGACACACGGATTTCTGAGCCTTCTCTTATGCTTTCATCTTCATTCCACACTCCTGACTTTCCCTCTGTCTTCCTTTGCTTTGTCTTCTTTCCGTATTTTCTCGCTGTTTGTCCTCTCTCCCTTTATTCATAATTTGCTTTCCTCTTGTAGCAGATTGGATTCACAAACCCCAGTGGCTCCTTCCGCTCCCTCCGTATAGTACATTGTCTGAAGTGTGGGTTGCTGGACCGCATGTCCGTCATCATTATCATCGCCGGCACCATCATCACCATCTTTATCATGAGGGACACTGAGCCCGGTTCTCAGCAATTTTGGTTTGGTTACTCCGGGCAGACTGTGAGGACCCCAGCCTCAATTCTTTCATTGGTAATATCAGCCTTGGGCACTGGGCCCCTTTCAAAAAAAAAAATAAAAAAATAAAAAAATGCATTGGATTCACAAAAAGCGAGGCAGATGAGAAAAGGAACAAACAACCTTCTCACCAATCTTTGAAAAGGAATCGCGTAATGCATCCCCTAATCTGTGAATGCCTGCCTCCCTCTCTCTCTCTCTCTCTCTCTCTCTCTCTCTCTCTC